GATATCCTGCGAACAAATTCGAGGAAGAATAATAAAAATAAACTAGACTTTAATTCGTCACTTAGACGAATTAGGTGATACGTATGATAATGGTTTGCATAACGAATAATGCATTACACGATATATTATTTTGTAAAATGCTTCTCCCATTTATATGCTTCTCCCATTATGATCTATTCATATGTCAAGATTAAATTGTGTCTCCTTGATCATCATGGATCTAGGGAAGATAGATTGAAACAATATATGACCTTTGACCCTGTGCAGTAGCCAGTTACACATTTGACTCTAATTTACATCATGAAGAACACCTTTTGACGATTTTATCTTATTCAAAGAAATGAAAATGTAATTGATAAATGATTATCATCATTATGATAATGATGATCATGATGATAATGATCATGATCATGAGCGCAATCATGACATCTTATTGAAAAAATTGAGGATTGATTTAGATAGCATATAGTCTCAGGTACAACATACTCTAAAATCAATAAAATTCAAGCAGAAATAACGGCGATATTGCTCGCAAAAGACAGGAATGTAGACTCCAGATTTGAGAAAAAGTCATCTCCCATAGATTACACGCAAAAAGTAATGGATTAAGTGAAAATAGGGTAATAATAAAGTAAAAAGGGTTATTTATGACAATATTTGCGAATCTACGTGTTTAAATAATCAAAGGAGATGGTACAGTGAAGGTCAAAAGAAAAAAAAAGTGAGAAAAAAAAAGTGTTGGAGACACCCGGACTCGAACCAGGGATCTCGAGGTTGGAAGTCAAGTGCGTTACCGATATACCAAAACATCTCCCATAGCGATTACACGTAAACGGGAAATGGAATTCAGAAATCCTACTTTGCAAGTGAAATATGAGCATGATCCCGGCATCTAATCGAAAAACAAAGGACACACTTTTGATAGCTCATTGTCTCAGCTACAACATATCCGAAGCTCAGCGAAAACAAAGCTAAAACAACGGAGATTTTGCTCGCGAAAGACAGGAGTGTAGAATCAATAGTAAAATTGATCAATATTTCTAGAGATACAATCAATTTTCCAAAAATATGCTGACGTCATAATATGCAAATTAAAATTTTGAGTTTGGAGGCCATTATGATGACGTCATGAGTTAATTGAGGATAAAATGAGACATGAAATCATATCTCCGACTCATAATCTATCCAAATATGAAAAAATATTAGGAGTTTCTATCTATTCGAAAGAGTTACAATTAATTTTATATAGGCATGTTTTTGCTCGCAAAAGACAGGAATGTAGACTCCAGATTTGAGAAAAAGTCATCTCCCATAGGGATAACACGCAAAAAGTAATGGATTAAGTGATAATAGGGTAATAATAAAGTAGAAAGGGTTGTTTATCACATTATTTGCGATTCTACGTGTTTAAATAATCAAAGGAGATGGTACAGTGAAAGGTCAAAAGGAAAAAAAGTGGAGAAAAAATTGTTGGAGACACCCGGACTCGAACCAGGGATCTCGAGGTTGAAAGTCAAGTGCGTTACTGATATACCAAAACATCTCCCATAGCGATTACACGTAAACGGGAAATGGAATTCTGAAGTCCTACTTTGCAAGTGAAATATGAGCATGATCCCGGCATATGATCAAAAAATGAAGTGCACATTGGAGATAGGTAATTGTCTCTGCTACAACATATCCAAAGCTCAGCGAAAACGAAGCTAGAACAACGGAGATTTTGCTCGCGAATAACAGGAGTGTAGAATCAAGTTTTGAGAAAAAGTCATGTCCCATAGAGAATACACGCAAAATGTGAAAAATTGACATGCCTCTTTTAATCGCAAAAATACACCATGATACTTTTGTCAAAAATAAAAATTGTGAATACTACATTTATAGAAAATTGTCTCAGCTAGAACATATCAAAATTAAAAAGAAAATTGATCCATATTTACAGAGATACAATCAATTGTCCAAAAATATGCAAACGTCATACTATCAAAATTTAAATTTTGAGTTCGGAGGCCATTATGATGACGTCTTTAGTTAATTGAGGGTCAAATGAGACATGAAATCATATCTCCACCCCTTAATCTATTTAAATATGAAAAAATATTCGGGGTTCCTATCTATTCTGAAGAGTTACAAAGAATTTTGTATAGGCATGTTTTTGCTCATGTATTGTGGATAAAGAAAACGCAGGTCCGCGCGCGCTGTCAACTTTGACGGACGCTCGTTGCGTTATTAAAAGGTTAACAAGTTATCAAACTGCTTGGAAAAATGTGCCAAATATGATGATAGAGAAAATTCGGCGATTCTATGTTGCAAAATAATAGTACGCGCAAAAAACGCGCGCGCATGTGCGTGAGCATAATTTTTTGTCAAATGCTTTAAATGGCCTTAAACGTATGCAAAAAAAATTTGGGATGATTTAGAGCATTTTTAATTTTTGCGAGCGCGTAAACGCGCGGATGAACGCGCTCGCGCGCATTTACGCACGTTTATTGACCTGACATTGACGGGACGGATATTGATCTTAATCATGATAATTATGAATGAGAAATGCTTTTCCGTTATGAAGATATGATCATAAGTTGATTTTCACAAAATGGCGTCTGGATGACGTCACGATGACTTTGAGTTTTTGAAAAGTCACGCAGTTCTAAGTTAGACTAAGATCTATCATCATGGCAAGTTTCATGATAATGGCTTAAGCCATTGTTGAGATATCCTGCGAACAAAATTGAGGAAGAATTATAATAATTTCTTCTATACAGACACAAAATAAATACTAGACTTTAATTCGTCACTTAGACGAATTAGGTGATACGTATGATAATGGTTTACATAACGAATAATGCATTACACGATATATTATTTTGTAAAATGCTTCTCCCATTTATATGCTTCTCCCATTATGATCTATTCATATGTCAAGATTAAATTGTGTCTCCTTGATCATCATGGATCTAGGGAAGATAGATTGAAACAATATATGACCTTTGACCCTGTGCAGTAACCAGTTACACATTTGACTCTAATTTACATCATGAAGAACACCTTTTGACGATTTTATCTTATTCAAAGAAATGAAAATATAATTGATAAATGATTATCATCATTATGATAATGATGATCATGATGATAATGATCATGATCATGAGCGCGATCATGACATCTTATTGAAAAAATGAGGGTTGATTTAGATAGCATATAGTCTCAGCTACAACTTACTCAAAAGTCAACAAAATCCAAGCAGAAATAACGGCGATATTGCTCGCAAAAGACAGGAATGTAGACTCCAGATTTGAGAAAAAGTCATCTCCCATAGAGATTACACGCAAAAAGTAATGGATTAAGTGAAAATAGGGTAATAATAAAGTAAAAAGGGTTGTTTGTGACATTATTTGCGATTCTACGTGTTTTAATAATCAAAGGAGATGGTACAGTGAAGGTCAAAAGGAAAAAAAAGTGAAGAAAAAAATTGTTGGAGACACCCGGACTCGAACCAGGGATCTCGAGATTGGAAGTCAAGTGCGTTACCGATATACCAAAACATTTCCCATAGCGATTACACGTAAACGGGAAATGGAATTCTGAAATCCTACTTTGCAAGTGAAATATGAGCATGATCCCGGCATCTAATCGAAATATAAAGGGCGCACTTGTGATAGCTCATTGTCTCAGCTACAACATATCCGAAGTTCAGCGAAAACGAAGCTAAAACAACAGAGATTTTGCTCGCGAAAGACAGGAGTGTAGAATCCAGTTTTGAGAAAAAGTCATGTCCCATAGAGAATACACGTAAAATGTGAAAAATTGACATGCCTTCTTTAATTGCAAAAATACGCCATGATGCCTTTGTCAAAATGGAAAATTGTGGATTATTTATTTGTAGAAAATTGTCTCAGGTAGAACATATCAAAATTTAAAAGAAAATCAATCAATATTTACAGAGATACAATCAATTTTCCAAAATTATGCTGACGTCATAATATGCAAATTGAAATTTTGAGTTTGGAGGCCATTATGATGACGTTATGAGTTAATTGAGGGTCAAATGAGACATGAAATCATATCTCCAACTTATAACCTATCTAAATATGAAAAAATATTGGGAGTTTCTATCTATTCTGAAGAGTTACAAAGAATTTTGTATAGACATGTTTTTGCTCATGTATTGTGGATAAAGATAACGCAGGTCCGCGCGCGCTGTCAACTTTGACGGACGCTCATTGCGTTATTAAAAGGTGAACAAGTTATCAAAATGCTTGGAAAGATGTACCAAATATGATGATAGAGAACATTCGGCGATTCTATGTTGCAAAATGCTAGTACGCGCAAAAAACGCGCGCGCATGCGCGTTTGCGTGATTTTTTGTCAAATGCTCCATATGGCCTGAAACGTATGCAAAAAAAATTTGGGATGATTTGGAGCATTTTAATTTTTTTCGCGCGCGTAAACGCGCGTTCGAACGCGCACGCGCGCATTTGCGCACGTTTTTTGATCTGAAATTGACCGGATGGATATTGATCTTCTTCCTGATAAATATGAATGAAAAATTCCTTTCCGTTATGAAGATATGATCATAAGTTTATTTTCACAAAATGGCGCCTGGATGACGTCACGATAATTTTGAGTCTTTGAAAAGTCACGCAGTTCTAAGTTAGACTAAGATCTATCATCATGGCAAGTTTCATGATAATGGCTTTATTCAGTCTTGAGATATCCTGCGAACAAATTCGAGGAAGAATAATAATAAATAAATAAATAAATAAATAAATAATAAAAATCTTGACGAAATCAAAAGGTGATACGTCTACGTACGTATCACCTAATAATAATAAAGAAAAATCTTGACGAAATCAAAAGGTGATACGTTGACTTCGTTACGTATCACCTAATAAGTCATAAATATGATCATGTATACATTGCAAAAACAAGGTGTTATTTCAACACCATTGGTGTTAATTTTAACACTTTCCCACCAGGGCTTGGAATTAAACAATTCTGTGAACGCGCCAATAAAGGAAACGTTGCAACGACTTGTTGAGTTCTTATTTCTCTTTATTTCTGTTCCTTTGTAACAAGTCATCTTCATTTAGCGATTCAGCAATCCAATTAGCGAATCATCATCATTAGCAAATCAGCAATCCAATTAGCGGTTCACTGTAAACAACAACAAAGTAACAAAGCATTATAAACATATGCATCATATAAACAGAATTAAATGCATGTAACCCTGTCTACATTACAGTGAATCTTGTAAATACTCTTGACATATAAACGTGATGTTTATATACGAAATAAACTCCAAAAGGAATGTAACTATCCAGCTATACGGTGTATTCATTTATGTCTCTGCTTGATATATATATCTTCATAAATTCCTGTGCTTAGAATGTGCCTGTAATGCACGGTGTTCTACAGATACGGCTTCATAATGCCCCCTTAATTAAGCAATTACAAAGTAGTCTATGTGATTCCAGACCCTATACAACTGACATCAATAATATTCCCTCAGAAACGGTTCTACACACTCCTTATAATGGTAATTAACCTCTTTTAACTCTTACAAGCTGTGCAAGTCACTATAACATATCATACTAATTAAATCATGCACCATCTTAGAGCTTGTTTATATGAATAAACCCTTTTATGCACGACACATACCTGGGTGCAATGCGTTTCATAGCCCCATAGCAACACATAGGCTTCTGTACATAACGTTGCGTTAATCATCCAAAATCAACTCACTATTTGCACATAATTCACAGGAAATGAACAATCATAATTATGAAACAACTAGTTTCATATATTTGACAGTAAATCAGTTATCTACAGTAATCATGTATCGTAGCTTACCAACTATTTGTTCATCCGGAGCAAAGTCATGAATTCTATGGTAACAAACATCAAGTCTGATGCCTTTGACTAGGCTTTCTGTTGCACAAATTTTCTTAACGCCGCAGATGGCGCTATACAAGTTTCGCGCCGCTACATTCCGGCCCCAAATGAGTTACCTATCCTTAAATCATTTTCTACATTACCATAAAGCGGCATGCATTAAACTATGAATGAATTACAGTAACATTTGGTATGCATTAACGCAATGACGATACCTGTAAAATATCTGAAAGCAAAAACAAACATCCATTTAACTTTCACAAATCTTGTCAAAACTGTTTGCATAAACAATTCAAACTGTGACATACATGCAAGTTAGAAATGTTAGAAATTCTTTGAACAATAACATATAAATGTTTCACATCATATATAACAACCTTCGTTGTGTTTAGGAAGAAGCCTCTACATTGGCTTCCAAGAGGCACAGCTTTGAAATTGGCCTCTTGTAATATCGAGGCCCTACTCGAACCTCTACTTGTCTTACAAGGCCACGCTTGTCTGGATAGGTCGTTAACACTCTTTCGATGGGCCACTGTCCACGAGGGGTACTTTCGTTGACCACTAGAACCAGATCGTCGACTTCAAAGTTTCTGTTTGGTCTAGTCCATTTCTGACGTTGCTGCAACAGGGGTAAGTATTCCTTGACCCATCGGGTCCAAAACTGCCCTGCTAGGTACTGGACTTGGCGCCAGTGTCTCCGTAGATGGCAGTCTTCTTTCACAAAGATCTCTGGTGGCAGACTTGGGTTCTTACGAAGCAACAACAAATGATTCGGGGTCAATGGCTCATCATCTCTGGAGTCCATGCTCAGGTGAGTAAGAGGCCTTCCATTCAATATTGCCTCTACTTCTGTGAAGAGGGTAAGTAGCGCTTCGTCTGTAAGCGTCTGCTGTGGGAGACTGGTCAAGATTTTCCTCACTGACCGTATGATCCTCTCCCATACACCTCCCATGTGGCTTGCTCCTGGCGGGTTGAAGTGCCATGCAATGCCCTTCTGTGTGAGGTATCGGTTCACTCTCTCGGAATTCAGCCCTGCAAGAGCATCCTTTAGCTCCTTCTGACCCCCCTTGAAATTGGTGCCATTGTCACTGAATATAGCCTTGGGTTGACCTCTACGGTTGATGAAGCGACGCAGTGTTTGTATGAATGAGTCAGTCTCCAAGCTATAAGCCATCTCAAGATGCACTGCCCTGGTAGATAAACATGTAAAGATACATCCATACCTCTTCTGTGTACTGCGACCATGCTTCGTCGGGAATGGGCCAAAGTAATCAAGCCCTGTATTCGTAAAAGGTGGTTCTCCCGGAGTAACTCTCTCTTCCGGCAAATCAGCCATGAATTGCTGACCTCTTGAAGCATTACGCTTCTTGCATTTGAAGCAGTTACCTATGGTGTGACGGACTGTAGCACCTCCCTTGTTGATCCAAAATCTTTCTCTGAGAGAGGTCCATGTCAAACCCATACTACAGTGTCCAACCTTCTGATGATGATGAACCACTAGAAGCTTGGTAACGTGGTGATCGTTGGGAAGAATCATTGGATGTTTCTCGTCATCCAGAATAGGAGCCTTGCTTAATCTCCCTCCTACTCGTAGCAGTCCGTCAACCATGACAGGATTCAGCTTTTCAAGGGGATTTCCTTGTTTCCTGGTTTTCTTCTCTATCCCCTTCACGTACTCATCAGGAAATGAGTGTCTCTATACGTGTTTGATCACTTCTACCTCTGCATTGTTCAATTCCTGAACTGTCAAGCTTCCTCTTTCTGCCAAGTTGCCCGTTCCTTTGGACCGCAAGTATTGCTTGTACCGTAGTAGCCATGCAATTCCTCGCTTCAGACGATCCCATGATGAGTACCTTGTCATTAGATCATCTATCTCGTCATGTGAGCTGGTAGCGTAGACATGAGTTTTCTTCACCTCACTGTCATTCTGAAGATCAAGTTCTGGTACATCTTCCTTCTTCAAACTTGCTGGATCTTCCGGCCAGACTTCCTTTTCTTGTAACAAGAACTCAGGTCCTGTAAGCCATCTATCCAGGCTTCTTGCAGGGATACCCCGTGAACCATCATCTGCTGAGTTCCTGAGGGTGTCGACGTGTCTCCACTGTCGTTTGTCACTGATCTTGTGGATCTTCGCAACCCTGTTGGCCACAAAGGTACGAAACCTGCGACTCTCATTGCTGATGTAGAGCAGGACCGATGTTGAATCTGTCCAGTATGTCACACGGTCAATTGGTATTCTGAGTTCTTCCTGAATGATTTGGTACAGTTGAACAGCCAATACTGCTGCTGACAACTCTAGTCGCGGTATGGTCATCTTCTTTAATGGACAGAGTCTGGTCTTTCCCATCACAAAGGCAGTGTGAATCTGTCCTTCCTTACCCACGATCCTCAAGTACGCACATGCTGCGTAGGCTCGCTCTGAACCATCACAAAATATGTGTAGCTCATTGGTAAAACCTTCAAAGTCTGTTGGCTTGTAACAGCGCTCAATGTTGATGGATGTTAATTCTGGAATTTCAGCCAACCACTTCTCCCATCGCTGTAATTCCTCCTGGCCCACTTCTTCATCCCAACCTTTGCCTTGGGCACACAAATCTTGAAGAAGTATCTTGGCAGTTACTATGAATGGAGCGACGAATCCTAACGGGTCATAGAGGGAACTCATTGAAGATAGGATCCCTCTTCTTGTAGCTGGAACTTCCTTGGGTTTAACCTTGAAGCTAAATGTGTCTGTCTCCATGTTCCACATGATCCCAAGCGTCCTCTCAATCGGTAAGTGGTCTAAGTCTAAATCAACGACAGAGGCTGCCCTTTCTGATGTCTCTACTGTAGACAGGACTTCCTTGTCGTTACTAACCCACTTGGTTAGTCTAAATCCACCTCTTCTTAGTAGCTCATTCAACTGAGGGATGAGCTTCTTGGCCTCTTCTCTCGTGGAAACTGACTTGAGACAGTCATCCACATAGAAATTGTCCAACACTGTCTCAGCTACTCCTTCATCAAAGTCTCTCTTGTTGTCTTGCACTGTCTTGTTAATCGCAAAGCCAGCACAGCTTGGCGACGATGTTGCCCCAAACAAGTGTACCAACATCTGATACTCTACAGGGGGCTTCTCCAAGTCTCCTTCCTCCCACCATAGGAACCTCAGTGCATCGATATCCTGTGGTGAAACTCTCACTTGGTGAAACATTCCTTCGATGTCACTAGCGAGGGCTATCTTGTCTTGCCGGAAACGCAGCAGTACACCAACCAGCTTGTTAGTGTAGTCTGGACCCTGGAGTAACTGGCTGTTCAATGAAGTCCCTTGAAACTCAGCAGCACAGTCATAAACTATCCGTAGCTTATCTGGCTTCAGCGGATTAATTACTGGGTGGTGTGGCAGGTACCACACACGCCCTACTGGCTCTCTGCCTTCGCCAACCTTGCAGGCAAATCCTTTTCTTATATAATCCCCCATAACAGAGGAATACTTCTGGTGAAGGGAACCATTCTTCTGTAGCCGCTTCTTCAGGCTCTGCAGTCTCGAACCTGCTTGCTGTCTGTTGTTGGGTAACACTGGTGGACACTGACGCCATGGCAAACCGATCTCAAAGTGTCCATCTATATACTTCACAGTTTTCTCCATGATGGTTCTAGCCTTCACATCTTCCACTGATTCACCAACTCTTTCATCTCCTGGACCAGAGTCCATCTCCCAAAACCGCTTCACTTGATTATGAAGCTCCTCAGCTGAGATGTGGTGAATTCCGTACGAGTTTCTGTGACTTGAGCTTGATGCAGGTCCAATCAACGTCCATCCCAAAGGCGTTCTGATCGCATAGGGATCTTTCTTTTGACCCCTCCTTTCTTCCTCTACCCAGAATGCTTCTGGGGTGTCGCCTCCTATCAGGAGCTGAACCTTTGCTTGGCCTGCTGTCACTAGTTGAATGCCCTGAAGATGAGGCCACTTATCGACATCTTCCTGACATGGTATACTTCTGGACGATATGGGTAGAACATCAACAGTCCACATCCTGTCCACATCGATCTTAGTGTCTTCTTGCAAGCCTTGAATGGTCATGCTAACTTCCATTCCTTTCCTTGGAGTGTTCACTCCATTGATTGTAGTCAACCTGAATTCCTTGTTGACTCCGACAATTCCCAGTTCCTCTGCAAGTCTCTTTTCACAAAGGGACGTATCACTTCCTTCATCAAGGAGTGCCCAAGTCGTAACCTCCTTGGCTCCATGACGCACCTTCACAGGAAGTACTCTTAAGCGTACGTCAGCTCTTCCTCTAATTGTATGGCATTCCACACCAGTTGTCACTCCGGCCCCGTTCTGCTGACTTGGGCTGTCTTCATTGTTCTTCTGGTTGGGGCTTTCCTTCCTTTCAAAGTGCAACCATGTGTGGTGTTTCCATTTTAGACTGCACCCTTCTTTCATACAGGTCGAGTCTGAGGGACAGTTCCTTGCTAGGTGTGCCTTCTTAAGGCAATTAAAACAGATGCCACTCTTCTTTAGGAAGATAAATCTCTCCTTCTGAGGCAAGTCCCTTAGCTTGAAACAGGTTTCCAACTGGTGCTCCTTCTTGCAGCATGGACATGCCTCCTTTCTGTTATTAGGCCTGTCAGTTCCTCCTTCCATTGCGAAGGATGAAGCTCTGCCTCCCACGCTCCCTTTCTGTCGCTTTGCACTTGAACTTGACTTGAATGACTGTCCGATATTCTTCCCGAACACGTTGCTTGCTATCTTGCTTCAGCTTCGGCGTTCTCAAGTTCGTTTTCAATCTTGAGTCTATCAAGTTTTTCGTTGAGTTCAAACTGTTCTCGTTTTAGTTCATGTTCTCTCTGTAGCTGTACTACCTTCATCCTAGCAAGCTGTCGCTTCACCTCGGCTTCTCTCATCTTCACGCTTGAGGAGATGCTCGCCCTGGAGGCCATCGATTTCACTTCAGCGTCCCTGGATGCTCTGGTTTCACTCCTTGCCGTTGCATCCCCGTCAACGCCGTTCTTTGGCTCTCCAGCTTCCGACCCCTCATGCTGGTTGCTTGCTTGGACCTTCTCCGACATCTAGAACGTAGTTGTGAACTTTTGTGTGAACGCGCCAATAAAGGAAACGTTGCAACGACTTGTTGAGTTCTTATTTCTCTTTATTTCTGTTCCTTTGTAACAAGTCATCTTCATTTAGCGATTCAGCAATCCAATTAGCGAATCATCATCATTAGCAAATCAGCAATCCAATTAGCGGTTCACTGTAAACAACAACAAAGTAACAAAGCATTATAAACATATGCATCATATAAACAGAATTAAATGCATGTAACCCTGTCTACATTACAGTGAATCTTGTAAATACTCTTGACATATAAACGTGATGTTTATATACGAAATAAACTCCAAAAGGAATGTAACTATCCAGCTATACGGTGTATTCATTTATGTCTCTGCTAGATATATATATCTTCATAAATTCCTGTGCTTAGAATGTGCCTGTAATGCACGGTGTTCTACAGATACGGCTTCATAATGCCCCCTTAATTAAGCAATTACAAAGTAGTCTATGTGATTCCAGACCCTATACAACTGACATCAATAATATTCCCTCAGAAACGGTTCTACACACTCCTTATAATAATAATTAACCTCTTTTAACTCTTACAAGCTGTGCAAGTCACTATAACATATCATACTAATTAAATCATGCACCATCTTAGAGCTTTTTTATATGAATAAACCCTTTTATGCACGACACATACCTGGGTGCAATGCGTTTCATAGCCCCATAGCAACACATAGGCTTCTGTACATAACGTTGCGTTAATCATCCAAAATCAACTCACTATTTGCACATAATTCACAGGAAATGAACAATCATAATTATGAAACAACTAGTTTCATATATTTGACAGTAAATCAGTTATCTACAGTAATCATGTATCGTAGCTTACCAACTATTTGTTCATCCGGAGCAAAGTCATGAATTCTATGGTAACAAACATCAAGTCTGATGCCTTTGACTAGGCTTTCTGTTGCACAAATTTTCTTAACGCCGCAGATGGCGCTATACAAGTTTCGCGCCGCTACAAATTCAATTCCACTTTTGGTGTTAATATTTGACAACTCCTACTGGTGTAGATTAACACCAATATTTGGAATCATAACAAATTAAATTCCACTTTTGGTGTTTATATTCTTGTTCATCCATTAGAGATTTGTCTATGGGTTTCTAATGGTGCCACATTCCATATTCCCTATTATCTACCATTATCGACCAGGGTAGAAGAACTAGTGGTAAACTGATAATTCATAATCGATGTCTGCAACTGTCCACCAATAGGTATATTTTAATCTCCATTGCATTAAACTCCATCACACATATCATTTGAAGTACATTCAATATTAACGTTTAAGTGATACAGGCTGGTACACGAATATATAATAAACATGCATGTTGTTTCTTGGTTAGTAATCATATAATCAATATATCTATTGCTAACACGTTAATATAATTGTAACAAGATCGGACAAATTATCTATTGGTCAATAATTGCCAAAGGAAAATAAAAATTACAAAGTTGATGTGCATTGTCATAATTTGCCTAACAAATCATGATAAATGTATTTTCTGTGAACACGTGTATAAGCGCGCGTACACTTTGTGAAAACTTATTCGACCAATCAACCGCCTTAAACGAAATCACGTGATGATACTTTCAACACCGAGCATACAACTACACCATGTTACTTAACACCCAGTAATTATTAATGCATGTTTAAATCTGACCGGTGTTAAGAATAACACCACTGGTGTCAAAATAACACCAATGGTGTCAAAACAATTCAACACCATACTGGTGTAAGAATTTCTACACCCTGGTTTTTACAGTGTACAATTTGTTTTTTCATGGTAAACTTGAACCATAATGCATGGCAGTACAGATGATTTTTTCCTGTTTAATAGGGACCAGGGGAAAATGCAATCAATTATTGACAATTTATTGCATTTTCTTTTCCTTTTTTGTATTTGTGGGGGCTGCCCCCTACTCTAGCCCCCGCTGCGTACACTCATGATTCAGGGGCAAAGCAATGGCCTCGTTAATGTGAGGCTCAGGATCAAAACGGTGTTGATGTACCATATTAGTGCCCTTTTGTGAGGCATTAATCCTCATTACTGTCAGTTATGACTTAAGGACGCAGGTCCCCTAGTTGATAAGCATAGTAGCACAGACATGCTTTAGCAGTTACGCAAAACAAACATTCACACATTATTTTTCAGTAAAATCTGAGAATGTACACTATTATCTAGATGTATTAAGAATAGATAATTTTCAAAATCATTCCATAAATTTGGGTAAAACAAATTATTCCACCATTATGACCAACAGTGTACTTCCACAATTTTTGAGTTATTTTGATGAAACTTGGTACACTTGATGCTTTTGAAGTAAGGATATGCAAGACATATTGTTTGTGTATGCTAGATAAAGCGTTGTTATGGTAATTTCAATTTTGCTCCAAAATATGCCATTTTGATATACAAATCTTGTTGAGCGAGCTGCTTCAAGTTTTTGAGCAATTTTTATGAAACGTGATGCTCTTGAGCTGAGTATATACAATACATATTTGTTGTGTGTATTGGATAAGTTTTTACCATGGTACCCACAACTGTGCATCAAAAATATGTCATTTTTTTTTTTATATAAAACCCTTGTAGAGCAAACTTCTTGCAGTGTAAAATGTTTGCAGTAACTTGGCATGTTAATTGGTGATGCGGGGGTATTAATCACATTAAGTGATATTTCTAGTTTTGTTTTCTCATGGCTTGTTTCCTGTGGCTATACCATATGGCATGAAAGCAAATACAATTATTACAGTCTTAAAATTCATGCATTCTCTTATTCAATTGTATTTCGTATTAGATTCTTCATTCAACTTGAGCGGTGAGAACAGCCCGACCGAGTTTGACGTCCACTTAGTCTTAGTCTTAGATGTGCTACATCCTACTATAGGGGACCTACCCGAGCATGTGCATGATCCGAGTTGCTGAGAGCATACATCATTACCTTATGGCAACTGATTGTTATTGTTGCTGTTGTATTACAGTCACACTATAACCAATGAGGTGTTTGCTTTATTGAAAAGAGGGTGCAGTGAAGAACACTGCAATATGCAAGCAGTACTACTTATAAACTGATGTTCTCTTGAATGGGCTAAAACCAAAATAAAGCACCACTTGGACTGAAAATTCAATCATATGTGAAAAATGTCAAAGGGGTGTTCCATATTTATTTTTCAGATATTTGTATCTGAAAGTAAATGAATTAATTACAACAAGGATGTGTTTAAATCTGATAACAATATGATTTGAACAAGGATAATGACAGATGCACAAACTCAATTTATTTGGTAGCGTATTTCTATTATAAATTAGGGACGGAACAATATGGAGACATGCATAAAAGGAATACTTTCGACAATGTTCAGCAGTTGATATTGTAATACTCATATACTGCCACATACCGGTGGTAGGAATGTGTGCACCCCACATACAGCACTTGTATGACCATTCTGTTCAGTGGAAGCAATAACTTGTTTATGTCATATTGATGATTATGCTATATGTATCCTCATATTGTCATGATGGTTCATTGTTGGCAACATGAATTTCATCAGGTTGACAATGTTAAGGCTTTGTACTTTAGATTAATTTAATGTGATCTACCACAAAGGGAGGAGGGTTTTCTACATTTTATCTGTCTGTCTCTTTGTCAATATGTCTATGATGCTATGAACCGCTGGGAATTGCCATCAAACCAATTGTATCTTTTCTGCGATGTTGAGGGTAGTTGATCTTTAAAAAATAACAATCATTAATACATTAATGGAATTAAACACTTCACAGAATGTGAAGAATTGAAAGTTTCTTTGCCATCAGTAATTGTTACAAGTACCTATACATACATGCAACATTTATGAACTGACAAAAGGGAGACTTATACTCTGGAGATTATGGCAGTTTGGGTTTTGTTTATTTTCTTGTTTCTTTAACTTTTTTTTGCACTTGTGGAAGAGTCAATGTAGTAACCAAAAAATAGTGAAATGCCAGGTACCAGTCTGAACGCATTTTAAGGTCATGATTGTGATAGATTACCAGTTTAAATCTCACTAAACTTATGAGTGGAAAATACCTGACGATATCTCGTTATAGCGAGAGGTGCATACGTTACATGCTAAAGTATGTAATGAATCAAAACATCAGATAAGAAGAGGGGCATAATTTGAATTTCTTGAGTTCTGCTGTTTTAAAAGATGAAAATTAGCTGTTCCAACTTCCTGCCTAAATATCTTGTCTACATTATATTAAGTTGAGTTGTGTTCATGTATTGGTGTTCTGTTTGAATTGTTGCTGACTTGTTTACTTTATTTATTTGATTTCCATCAAAGTTCTTACCAGTATGCATTTTTAAGAGTAAATTATTATGACTGATTGAAATGCCTTACCGTTGAAGTCAAAAGTCATATAACGCCTGAAAAATTATCTCCGGTCTCCAAACAAAACGATTTACGAAACCTTGCCGTATTAATGTAATTTCTTGGTCTCCACATTCTGCAAATGCATTTTTGTTTTAATCTGAGAAGATGATT